CTAAAGTGAGGATTATTAAAATAATGTTTTAACAACTCTTTTTGGTTAAGTAACCAAACATATTATAAACAAATATAAATATAAATATTTATATATTGGTTCAAATATACTACCATTAGAAATTAAACACAGCAACCCTTTTAAGAAATAAAATTACACTTTGGCTATTACAAGTACAAAATATAGACAGACTGGACAAACGTATAGGATTATTGCATTTTTTATCATATTAGTCGTAATTATTGTTAATTTTAGTTTTATATTACCATATTAATTATTGTATTTATATTTAACTAGGTATACAATTTTTTACATAATACTATATGTCTATATTATAATATTATTTTATATAAACAAAGAGAGGAAAATATATATTTACTTATATTAATATTATAGTTATGTGAGAAATGTATATTACAAATTGTAATTATTTAATTTATATGAAATATTTAATGAACTTATATTTCAAATTGTGAACTCATGAGCCTCTACATGAACGCCTTCAGTGGGAACCAATATCTTCTTGAAGAATAAATAAAAATTAATAAAATATAACGGTAAAGAACACATGGCTAGGTGCACAAAACAATAATAATAAGGCGTTTACAATTTTTGTAACAGAATAATAATGTTTGTTTGCAAATTATAATAAAATAATATGGTTTTGCAATTTACAATATAATAATGACGATGGCGTGGCAACAGCATAAAGGAATTTTTTTATAGAAAGGATAATATCAGACCCGTCATGTGTTTATTAAATATAATAATTGTTTTACTCGTCCATGAGACACATGTTTTGTATTTTTTGTTTTCTAAATAATAATAAAATATCAGCTCATGGGAGAAGACAGACACATTGCTCATTACTAGTATCGCAGGGTTACCGAGCAAAGCATGGTTTTACTGTTGTTAGTAGGTAGTTATTACTGTGATAGTACCTCACGTGCAATAACGTAAGTATTGATATTATTTTGTTATAAATATGCCAAATAAAGTGTTCAAACAAAGATTAAAAAATAAGATAAAGTACTTATTGAATAAATATAATAAACTTAGTGATAAAATAAATTCACCAATAAACTGTTTTATGAACAATTTTATGAACAATTGGTGAAATCACAACAAAACACTTCGTAAAACCCTGTGTACAAAAGTAATGAAAAAAACGGATCTTCAAGCACTTTAATGATGTGATATCATAACTAAATGCTAACATTTATTTTGTTTATTAATTTTTTTTACTTGGCGGGAAATTATATACTTTATATGACACAGCAAACAAACGAAATAACGTGAAAAAAATAAACAAAAGGCAATAGATGTTCCCTATAATTTTAAATTATTTCTCGCCTAGTAACTAAGTTATTGAAACAAAATAATTCAATTTACTTAGCATTTATTTTTGACATCACATCTTTCACATCAAAAATTCCGGTTTTTCCTTAATTTTTTTATTGTTTTCCAGTAGCCATTAGGTACTTATAACGCGTTATACATCAATTAACAAACCGTGATACTATCATAGATATATAAAAGTATACTTTAGAAGTTTCAATTACCCACGAATAATATTATACAATCACAACAAAATAACTAAAATAGATATTCTATGCTTTAATATGTAATTTCGTCCAAATTTGAACTTAAAATGGCTATAAAAAAAAACTGTGCCTATTTATTTTTAATATTTTTCAACTGCTATTGTAACAATAAATCAGGAGCTTTGCATTAACTTTTCATGCTTTTTTACCCAACAAACAAAACTTTATTGATATTTATATAAAAAAAAAACTAAAAAAATTGGAAACTTAAAATGTCCGTAAACAGCTCAAAAAGAGTCAAAATATTTTCAAAATTGTATTGTGTATAGGAAATGCTAATTGAAACATTCAGTGAAGTTTTCAAGTATCTACAGTCATTCGTTTTTGAATTACAACAAAAGAAGAAAATCGTTACATGAGAAATCGAGTGAATATCAAATGTTGTAAAAATATGAAATTTAAACGCTCATAACAATCTAATTTGAGTTTCTTGTAGACATTTTTTTTTTTTTTTGATAAAGGTAGACAAACTTATGAGGAATCTTGTTTTACATTTTAATATCTCAGATTTAAAAAGAAAATTTTTTATGAATTTCTAACTTAAAATGATTTGCAAATTGTCTTCATTTTGACATATTTTGTCAATGGCCATTTGAACTTTAAATACTTATAACAAAAAACAGTGACTAAGGATTTTTAGTATTTTTCAAATATCAGTGTAACAAATAACAATATAGTAGGAGCTTTGTATTAATTATTCAAGTATATTTATTTAACAAATAAAGATTTATTGACATTCATAGAAATAAAAAATAATAAAATGGGAAACTGAAAATATCCCTAAACAGTTCAAAACATATCAAAATATTTTGAAAATTTTATCATGTATAGAAAATGAAAATATAAACAACCAGTTTCACGTATATACGTTCATTCGTCTTAGAGTTACAAGAAAAACCAAAATAGATTTTGTGGAAAACCATTGAAAACATAAAATAAACATTGAAAAGCAAATTGATATAGCTGGCTGTGTAGAACCCCAAAAGCAATGGACCGTAACCAAGTTTAAACAATTTTAACAAATCACAGAGTTTGGAGTGTAACATATTTTCCATCAAATCTAGGTACTATTTTGATGTGTGTCTATTGGCAATTCAACAAATTCGGAAAAGTTTCCAAACATTTATATTTAATAAAATTATTCACTTCTACACATTTGTCTTCTTTTAGCATTGATGGTTTGTAACACAATATTATAATACAATATAATATTATGGTATTCTGAATATCTAACAGTGGAATAAAAATTAGGAATTAATGATTTCAATACATGATTTTTGTTCTACGATATATTATATTTATACATATAAAGCATAAAAATATTTCAAAACTATGGTAAAAATATTTTTAAAAGTTGCGTAAATAATTATGAAATATTTTAGTTATATTCTTTGGCCCAAGAGCTCATATATTTGAAATATTTTATAAAAAAACATTTTCAAAGTATTTTAATCATATATTTTCAAAAAACATTTCTACGGAAACTTTATAAAAATATTAAGTCAACATTTTTATGCAATAATATAGTACAATATTTTTTTATCATAAGAAGAATATATGTATAAAGTATTATTAGTTAAATAAGCATTATTCAACCACTTTAAGACATTCACAAAATATTATCATTTCCCAAATGCTGTGTGGGTATACCTTTATACCTAATATTACCGTATACATCGAAATTTATCGAACAAACACACACGTGTTAATAACCTGATCCAATCCCTACAGTACTCCAAACTAATGACCTCAGTTGTTGAAGCCTTAGCACCCGACAAAAAAAAATATTATAATATGTATAATATAATATATATAGGTAATATAATTATAATATGTATATAAATACTATGACATCGCTAGAAATGACTAGTTTAATTTTGTTTTTCAAAACGAAAGTGTCATAGCAGTCTTATAAATAAATTATACCCACTGAAGAAAATATTTCAACGATAGTCGAATGCCGTTGTGTAGATCTGGCCGATGATCGATGGCTATCATCTGAGCACAGATGGAACCGTTTATGTAAGCACAGATGTTATAATATAATATAAGTATAAAATAATCATATTATATTATATTCTATCGTTGTAGAATCTTTGTGACGATAACATAAAAATATGATTTGATGATTATTTTTTTCCCAAGATTTTATTTAAAATAATAAATATTACATATTATGACATCAGAATATAATATAACAAAGTGAAAATATACGTATTGAATGAAATTAGAATATCATAATAATCATATGAAGAGCGGAACCGGAAATTGTAATTATTTTTATTTGCAATAAATGATTTGTCATACCAGTGGTGTACCTCTACAGAATTTTCGTAAAATTTATTAAAAAATAAAAAACTCATTTCAAATTAGTAAATTTTTATATTAATTTAATTTGTAAATCACAATAAAAGTTCCTATTTTTTTAGTTTTTTCCTTCCAACTCAATAATAATAATTACTTCTGTATGATACAAAATAAATACAATTTTATAAATTGTATACATTTTAAATATTTTTGTTAGCTATTAATTTTAATATATACTTTGTTACGGATTCAACCCAAAATGAAAAATAAAAATGTATGAATATTATGTAATACAATGCAAAATATTTATGGCTTCATAATATTTAAAATTCCTGATGGTTCTGAGTCTGGAATCTGTGTTGTCGATTTCTTTTAGTTTCTGCCATGGTTTTTCTTAGTTGTAATACAAGTTCTCTCTTTTCAGCAATCTATAAAATAAAATATAAGTATAACTAAAATATAAACTATTTTCATAAGTAACCAATATATAGGATTTTCCATCTAACTTAAGACACTCGTTATTTCAGAAAATAAATGTTTTTGAAATAAATTTATTTACATTATATTAACTTGTTACAAAAACAATATTTTTTAACATATATATATTATACCATAAGCCATTTTAGGTTTTTTTAACCTAAAACATACATTTTGAATTACATAAGCATAATATTATATGGAGTGTCTCCACATTAATTTGTCAGAGTTAGAAATACTTATAACTGGAGCACGGATTTGTATGCATTAATAACCAACTATAAAGGCGCTAAAAAATCTTAAAAATGCATAAATATAATATTAATATACAGTATGCATTAAAATTTTCAAATATGCACTCAAAAAATCATTTATTTTCTGAATGTTTAATTTAAATTTATGGAACGCTACTATTTATATTATTCTTTATAATATCTGTATTTTGTAGGTAGTTTTAATCTATAAGAAAAATAGGAATCAATTAAAAGGATGCCACACGGACATTTGTTATCTGTGTAACCAACATTCGAACACAGATAATGTTCTTACCATAGATTACAATAGATCAATTTTTTAACAAATTGCCGGGTTGCATGAAACCGAACTTTAAATTTATTTAATAAACAGTTTTAACGAGCCGTTAAATATTTTTACAGAAGCGTTTGGGTTGCACAAATCGTACAATAAAAATATATTGGTATTAAACATGATACCGAGGTTAGTGTAGAAATTTAAGTTTATCACAGAAAAAGTGATAAAATCATATGATCTAGATACTGTATCAACAGCTGTTTGAACTTTTAATTTTGAATATGTATAATAACAATAATTGCTAAATGCTTTACTGCTATTTACTAGTCTGTACTTAATCTTTCTTCGGCGTTTTCGGTTCTGTTCATCATATTCCTCCAAAGGATTTGATCGATCTCTAAATAACCTCGGTCTAGGTAAATGACACAAAATACCCAAAACCAATTCATCATCGGAAATCGATAAACTTGAATCAGAACTCGACATTTTTACTATTTTCGGTTATAGCTTATAAGTATTAAGAAAAAAATTTAGTAAGTACGACCAACTACAGGGTAGGTATAGTGACGACGTACTACTGACACCTGAATACGTATGCGTGATAACTGATAACTGTAGGATTATCGAATGATTAAAATTTAAAGAGCCGAAATCGGCCCATTAGTTTAATGAGCTGGTAACCTATATTTTAACGGCCCAATAAAACTATTGAACGTTTAAAGATTGTTTAACAGATGAATAAAATTTTAATCATTCGTTAGCGCGCTAACGGCTCGTTAAACATTTAACAGGCGTTCATGCAACCCGGCATATGTGTACATAATATAACATAAATAAAAAACTCACTTAAACACTGCATAATCGTAAAAAAAAAAAAACAAAATAAGAACACAGATAACTATTTTGTAAATATAAATGGACAAGAATAATACTGATGTCTTATTAGAAGCATTAAATTACTAAAAAAGAGAATCCAGGACGTTGAAAACCGTGGCCCTACCAATAAAAAAAGCATGGAAAATCATAAAAATGTAAGACATCAGATTGTATTGACAATGCTTATTAAAAATATTAATACTTATTACTGACCAGCATATTTTTATTACTCATATCCTCATTGTTTCTAGTAAGTCCAGATGGCCGTCTTGGTGATTTAAAATTATTTACAACTGCTTTTCCAATATGTTCGTCTCTGTAAAATTTAGATTCTATGCAATCACTTTTATCATAATAAGCCAAATTTTTAGATTTTCAAATAAATTACTAAGCTAAACAGGTTGAAAATTATTTCACAGTATCCCGCACCAGGATATTGAACCATGTCAATAATATGATTCAAAAATCCATGTGCATATTTTTCACAACAGTTTGAGCGATTAAATTTCTAGAACATATGGATACTCACCCATGCTAAATAACTTCTTGGCGATCGACATAGGTGTTATTAGATGTATTGCCACACACTATACACTTGTGCATTTTTAAAACGAGACCAATAACTGCCACAAGTCGGGAATTGAAGTTGGCCTAATCAGTAGACAGTTATCTGTATTGTGCGCAGTAGGAACTTAGAAAAGATAACTCGATCAATGGACGCGGGTTGCCTCGATCACTCAGTCTTGGAATGTATACGACACCTGTATTCCGGTATCCCGTAGACCAATGGTTGTGTTTTGAGGTGTAAGTTTTCTCGTGGCAGTCATCTATAGAATAGTTGGGTGGTTAGACATTGCGTGTCGTATTTTTTAAAGGTTTATTATGCTTAAAGTATAATACATACATAATATGTCTACTGCAATCTCACCGAGTACTGTACAAAGCACGTGGATGAAACATAACTTTTTGATTTCACAGTCTCGAATTTGATGAAATATTATTTGTATTATTAAAAATGAATGTCTGAAAAGCGCCCGTTTAATATTTAGCCAGACATACACGCACGACAAAAAAATAATAATATTCTCAATAATCTAAATTACGACGTAAACAAAAGACAACCGACTAGTGATAAGCGCAACTCCTGTAATCACGGTCTTGGACCATAGAGTAATACTCTATAGAATATTACTCTATAGAATATTACTCTATGTCTTGGACACGGTCTTAGAAGATAAGACCGTGGTCTTGGATTATAAACACAGATATAAAATAAATTTTATATCTGTGATTATAAATCAGTAAAGAGTAGGTACTTTTGTTAATAAATTCTAAATATTTATAGCCATGCCCACCACCCCGGACCCCCCTTAAAGCGGGCTTGAATGTTAGGTTTATTTATGTTATTTTGTAATTTATTTTATTACCTACTTTCCCTTAAAATATTTTCTTGCGTAGGTAGGTACCTAATAATTTCCGGACTATTACCTACAGTGGCGTCCGCAGGATTTTTCAATGGGGGGGGGGGGGGCTTGAAAATTAGTTACAAATTAATTTTTATTTTGTCCAGTCTAAAAATTTCAGACGTTTATTTGAGGTATTTTAAAATGTTTGTAACTTTTCAACTTTTCTGGTAGAAAAAATGCTCTTATCATAAGCTTCGATGCCCAGTGTATGTTTTTGGAAGCAAATTGGATCTAGTTGGTACTTTTAGGAGGTCGAAATTGAATCTGCTCAGTGCTTTTAAAAGTACCTAATTGGAGAAAAAATAATGAAAACTTATTTAAATTGTTTGGTAACAATAGCTTGGTTACAGTGACGTATTTATGGGGGGATATGGGGGATAGACCCCCTCCCTTACCCATGTTTTTCCATGTATAAAGTACAAACTGCTGCAGTACCTACCTACTGTTGTTATTTATAATTTTGTTATCCTGTGGGCATGTGAGTGACATTACACAACATTTATTATTATTATATACCTTACATGGAGTAGGTACCTAACTAACAAAAAGTTGCAATAGCACAAAACAAATTTTGATATCCCCTTCCTAAAGAAAATCCTATATACGCCCCTGCTTGGTTATATAGTCCTCACTTGGATTGTATTTGACTAATTAAATTTTTTTTTTATAAATGTCAATAAAAAATTATTTATCCGATCGAAAAGCTTAAAAATGTAATACGCAAGTTTTTTTTTACATATGCATTTAAAGTTCAAAACAATTTAACCACAGTTAATTTGTAGTTCAAAACTTATAAAATATAAAATATGTATAGCTAAGACTAGACAATTTAATACAAGGTCTTTCATACAAGTAGTTCATTCTTTTACCGAAAAATTACAGATAATTTATGAAAATTGGTAAGCAAATACAATGTTTTTTTAAAAATGAATTCATTCTGGTAAGACATATATGAAAGTTACGTCTTGCTTACTATAGTTGACAGTTTAAACTTGATTCATATTTTTTTTAAAAAGTAATAATAATACGGGCAATAGGGGGGGGGCTTTAGCCCGTTAGCCCCCCCCTGCGGACGCCACTGATTACCTAAGTACCTACGTAATATTTTTCCGACTTTTTTTATTCGCGTTGAATACTTTCCTGATCTATTCATTCCTACGTAATAATATCGTTCGTGTGTAATTTTTCTCGTGTAAATGTGTAATGCTTTAGATCGTAGAATCGTACGGTGTCCGCATGGAGGTAGAACGAACAGAATTCCTAAGACACGGTTTCCGTAGTACATTTATTTTAAAATGTGAAGTTTGTGGATTAAAAGAAAAAATATTTACAGAAAATCCACAAAATTCGAAAAAATTAGACGTTAATATGGCATTTACGACGGGTGTGATTGATACTGGTCAAGGCTTTACGCAACTTTAAGAATTATTTTCATCCGTATTAAACGTGCCATGCATGGCTAATAAATTATATGAAAAATGTCACAATAAAATAAGTGATTCTATGTATGAAGTAGCGTTCGAAGAAATGAAGGCTGCAGACTGCTAACTGGAAAGACACCTGTTCATGCGCCCGCCGAATTAGCAGAATTCGCGCATCAACGCGATAACGGATTATGCACACTTTGTTCATCAGAGATTTTAAATAATTTTAAATTTTATTTAAAATCTCTGTTGTTCATTTAATATTCATAGATAGATACAGTATTAATTTATATGTCACATGAATTGCCTAAATAGTACTCCTTAAAATATGCTATGGTGCACCCCCCTTAAGTTACTATCACAGAATTATTCTAAATCATAGTTCGTGGTTAATTATATTATTACAGTTATTGTTATATTATTATAGTAGGCATTATACTGTTTTTTTCAATACAATATTATATTTAAACATACCTAATATGCTGGTTTAATAAAAAATGATCTGTGGAATAATACAGAATAAATAAAAATATTATAATTATTAAATATTATCAAACAAAATTAAATTTAAACATATTTATTTCAAAAAAATTGAATGATTTAGAAACGAATGAATATCATTCCCCTCTTTAGGAATATGATATAATAGTTATTCAAATATACGTGCAAACACTTTTGCAATTCCAAGTGTTTCGTGTTGTGTTTGGGGGGGGGGGGTGCTGGGGACACGTGTCAATTAGGAAAACCGTTTTTGCGAACCGACAGATGACGATAGAGTTGCGGAACCAACCGTGTTCAAATACGTGACAATTACATGCAAATTATTGGCCTGGATCCTTTTTTGGAATTCCAAGTACTTTGAAATACTTTGAAAATTAAAAATTCCGTTTAATGTATGAATTATAATCTATAAATTATTAAAAAATTTGTTAAGCCTGATCGAAATGTAAATAAAATATAAAAATTGTGTGTCGATATCATATTATTATAAATATAAAAAATTAGTTTTTGACTTCATCGATTTTGTTTTTTGATATACATAATAATCAAAAATAAAATAACTTACTACAGATAATAGGTACCCACTTGAATTTTCCACTACAGGAATTACATTCTTAAATTTTTCACATGGTATTATTATGATATAACAACTAATACTGTGGGTATTTTCTTCGTAAGAATCCGAAAGTGCTCGTTTCATTTTAATGTTACAATTTGAAGAGTACTAATCGTATTCCGTTAGTGACAACGGTTGGGCATACATGTATTTTTGACTTTGGGTCTGGTGTACAGAAAGTAACTTATGATGTCTTATAGTAAGTTAATTTCTACTTGAAAAATTCATCTTGAAAAAAAAATTGTTACACCCTTGAGTAAACTTCTGGATACAAATTATAAAAGTATAATAAATAAACTAGCTACCTATATAGATTAATCCATGCTTATTCTAGAAAACATGAAATATTGATAAGTATTAAATCAATATATAATTCACATTTTATATCAGCCGGGTAGTCATATACTTACTTCCACTTAAAGTAGGTTAGAACATTTCATAGAAAATGAACCATTGAAAAAATTTATAATTAAAATATTAAACAGCAATATGACTTTAATTAGCCTATGGTTTTTTTTTACATCGACTGATTATTAGAAGGTACTATAAATATGATGCCTATTTTTCATTACCATTATATCTCAATATTGAACTTAATGTTTA